CACTTTTTTGATAAATATATTAAATAAAACTTAGCCACAAATGCAAGTAAGAAATTAGACTTTTAAAATGAAATAATATTAAACTATAAACTTATCAGTAAAATTAAAAATATCGTTTTAAATATATAATTTATAAAAAAATAATTATTTTTGTCTTTCTCCTTTCATTTCAATTGAAATAAATGAATCAAAATTTAACATATGACGAAGTAATTATATGTTATCATTTTGTCTTTCCCCTTCCATACCTAGGTCTTTCTTTTATATGTTATACTAGGAAGCAGTTGCACAATTATTGATCACTTTATAATAATAACTAATTCTGCACCTTTCTTATTGTAACCTCATTGGATATCTTTTTGCAGATTCATTTCATTGGCATTTTCCAAGCATCTTCCAGGGAATTTCCAGCTATAATTTGAACAAGTTCTCTCCTCTTCCACGTAGTCGGCTACAATTTTTATCATCTAACAGAATTAGCCTTGCAATTGAATTGATTTGCTGCTACATCTAATTCTCTTGGCCTAGCTGATTTGGTTATCATTATCCATTTTCTGCAATTTCTTGGGTGAAACATACAGGTATATCATCTAAATTTTTTATTTTGATTTAGTTATGTTCTCTTTGAGATATAAAATGAAAATATCTAAATTTTTTAACAAATGCTTATAACTTTATTAGCAAAGACACTCTAGTTAGAATATTCCTCATTTTTAAATTGAGTTAATAAGCTGATGGGCCGCCACTTGTAATTTGGTTGGCTTAATTTGGTTATCCTCATCCATTTTTTCAATTTCTTATGCTAAATTCAAAGGTAACAACAATTATCTTAATCTTCAATCTTGACTTTATTATGTCCTCATTGATGTATAAAGGTGAATGGCCTAAATTCATCTTTCAAGCGACTCTGTTTTCTAATGAAAGATTCGATTAATTACACTGTTAGAAAAATTGACTATACAGACATACAGTGTCAAATAGTTAATATAGGATATTAAAAAATTAATTGAAAAAGAATTACTACATTTATCTATATTACCCTTAAGACTCAATTTTGTTTAAAAGTAAGTTATTTTAATTTTTTTAATAAAAATTTATTAAAACAATGTAATATTGGAGTTTTTCTTGTAATTTTTTTAAAATTGAATTGACAAACACTTTTAACATAAAATAAATAAATAAATAAAATGTGATATTAAATAACTAGTTTAGAAAATTTTTAATAAATTTAAAAAATCTTTTAATATTCTATAAATAAAAATTTGTGAAACTAAAATGATTTCTATCAAATCTAATTTATTTAATTTAAAACATAATTAATTCTAGAATCAAACTAAAAGAAATTTCATACAAATATATGAAATAAAAAATTACAACATAAACAGTCTTGGATAGGAAAAAAATTTCTATATAAATAAAAAAATATAAAGTAAAATTTATTTACAAAATAGACAAAAGTAACCGTTATTTCCCTGTTACTGGTTTATATTTATTTTCTCTCAATATTTATGCAACGTGTCGATAAGAGACAGGGCAAGTGTTGAAGAGAGTGCTTGTGGACGAGTGCCCATGGCGCTGCTCTTTTCATTTTATTGTTAATTAATTCATTAAATTCATCAAAATATGAATATTTTTAGTACCTAAACTTATAATTATGTATATTTTCAGTTTCAAAATTTATAAATTTAAGATTAAAAATGTGTATATAAAGATAAATTTAAT